TAGAAATGGAGGCAACCTTTTGAATAGGTGTGTTACTTGAAATGAATGGACGCATATGTTGGAAGCAACCTTTTGAACAGGTCGATCCCCGTTGCGTAGCGGCAAATATTAGTCGGGGCGGCAAAACATTCGCAAAATAAAAGATAACACATACAAAATGATGAAAAATATCTAACAATAATTTCACAATATTGCACTAGATCTGTATAAATTTTATTTTAAATGAAAGTTTTCAAAAATCTTTTGATTTTTACAGAAGTTTATAAAAATTTAAAGTGAAAATTTATAAAAGATTTTCATTAATTTTATACAAATTTTTAAAAAAATTCACGAAATTCATAGAATTTATCACTAAAAAAATCCATCAAAATTTTCAAAAGTTTCAAATGAGTACCCTAATAATGCTACTCATCACTCGTATTGTGATAATTCTCTAATAAGCATTATTTTCCATACGTTTTCCCATCTAATAGCATTTTTCCTTTAAATTAGGACAAGTGGAAGCAGCAAAATCCACGCTCCTTACAGGGCGTGAAGTCAAAAATATCAAACCAGACAAAACCACACGGATGCTCATCCTCTATTCCTCTTGGTTTCCCTTGCCCACGATTTCTACCACTTCCCTTACCACTCGTGTTTTCCACGCGAACACATGTCAATTTCCCCTTGGGCCACGCGATCCGGTTCGGATAAGAACATGACACTCTTTTCTCATCTCGCCGTATGTGCACATTTACTCATTTAGTTAAGAATTATGTTTGAGTAATTAATCTAGATGTACTTCTTGTGGAATTTAATGATGACATTCCCTCTGTAATGTTAAAATCTGAATGTCGTGAAAATTAATGACCACGATGAATGTCATGTCAAAAGATATCAAACTTAGCATCTCGAGGCACATTTTAACTGGCAAATGACGAGGCTTTTAGTTGCTGACAGTTCAGTGATAGCGAGTTCGATTCGTGGGGTTCTTGGAAGGCAGACTCTCTCCTGGAAGACAGATTTATTCTGAAAGGCAAGTTGCAACATGTGTTGACTTGCTCGGCACTTTGACAGATCAGTGAAGGGGGCTCTGGACTCTGGCCATTTGGGCACATCCTGCGATTTACCTGATCTGCTTCTTGAGGGACTACGGCGTAGACCCCAAGATTAATTGTCGAAGGTGGACACCTGAGTATAAAAAAAAAAAAGATATCAAACTTAATGTAAAAGGTAATGTAACGTGGTATAATTGTTGAGTAGTTGTGTTTAGTGTAACAAAATCACACACATGTATCTTAAAGGTTTTACTAGGTTTTTATTGAATTCAAAGTTAACAATTAATATTAGCCACATATTTTATGGAATTCACAATTTTTCAACTATATATTTTTATCAGTTTTTATCAAAATTAGGTAAAATTTGATTTTAATATCTGTCAAACAAGGGCTAAGCCGTGTAACTGTAAAATTTGATAAAAATTTAAGTCAAAATCAATAATTAATTTTAATTATATATTTTTTGATATCTATAACGTTTACGAACTTTCAACTATTTATTTAATTAATTAATTATTATCAAAATTTATTAAAAACCCGATTTCATAAAGTATGAAATGTGCTTATTAATTGAAGGTTGAAGATAAGAATGTGTATAGAAAGTTAGCGCCAGAAGTACTGCAATAAGTAAAGATTGAAAATTTTAAGTGGAATTAAAATGTGATCCTCAATTAATTAAAAAATATATTGTGAATATAATTACTCGTATTCAAATCTTTCTAATAGACAATTTTATCCTATTTTTAATCTAAAAACAAAAGAAAATTGAAACATAAAAACAGAAAGGTAAAATTATTTATTGGAAGCTAGGTGCAACTGTAGGAGGCTTTGTGGGTAGACAATTTACACCATAACTAATTGGTCTATATCTAAATTGGAGCTGAGCTTAACAATAGATTCTATTCGATTCTACTTAAAAACATGTATTCTTAAAATCGAAAATTGACTAACCCCGATTGAATTCCAAATTTTAATTGCAAGAATCGAAATATGCGATTCACCATTTTTCCCCCACACACCATCGAACCAAGAAGGGCCCAAAGTCGCTCATTTTTTTCCCATCCATTTTTACTATCTAATTATGTGTAAACAATGCGCTCTTTTATCCTTTCAACTACTTTGATTTTTCATTGACTTTCCTCGTTCAAAATGCTGATTGCTAATTCCTACTTGACCGAAAGAACATATACTTGCTTTATTAAATATAGAGATGTATACAATATTTTCTCCATGTTTAGTGTAATGTCATTCTCGTCATTGTTATATTATGTATTCATTTCGTTTATTTATTAGTTATTAGAAGTTGAACCAAACTCGTTCTATTATCATACATGAAATCAAATGTTTACACTTATAAAATTTCATTTTTTAAAGAGTTCGGTTGGATTCTTGAAATAGTTAAGACTAAACATCCAGTGCCCATCCGAGGGTGAGTTTTTTTCTTCTTACCTCATTTATTTGTTTTTGTTTAATTTATCAGTAGGGAAGATTGTATTTTTCAGAAAAGTTAGACAGTTTACCCAATCATTACTTAAATAAAGGTTGGGGGATTGAGGCTGCCAAAATATTAGGTTTCTGACCTATTTGCCATAGTTTTG